GTTTAGTTTTGGTTGTAAAGTGTCCTTGAGTGTCTTGAAAGACGCTTATGAATGAAATGTATTATTCTTATTATTATAAGATATTTCAAGGGTTATTTTTACTGACCATTCATTGTTCATGACATGTACAAATGTTTGTTTTCCGAACACACTATCCATTCTTGTTTTCTTACAGTTCTAACAGCCGCTGTGAGACCTAACAGCCTAACATCTTCGGCCTCAGACCAGGAAATTGATGTCACAATCACAAGATGGCTACATCTGGCTCCTTATCGGGATGGTGACAGGAAGAAAAGCATAAGAAGAAAAGAGTGCATGGAGAGCGCTACAATTTGATGGATAGAAAAATACCGTTCAAGAGGAAGCTGCATCCCAATTTGGACTTTGTGTTCACTGTTAAATAAAGAAAAGTTCATTTTTCCAGTGTATGTGGAGTTATATGTGAGGTTCACAAATTATGACAATAAACATGTTTTTATAACAGTTGTTTTTGAGACTTTTTTTTAAAAAATGTGGGTCAAATATGGCTCATGAAAGATGTGGCTTAGTTGAGGTTGAATTAAGGCTGATATCAGGAACCTGTTCTGGCCCAGCGTCGGGCCAGATATGGTTTTACAATGCGGCTCAGATCTGGGCCGAATGCGGCCCACATCATGGATGCCAGACCCGGGCCACTGCAGGACCGTCATTCATTGAGGTATGTGGGCCGAGTGTCGTGCCGTGTCTGCCCCAGAGCTGGGCCAGACCAATTTTGCTGACTGGGCGTTGTCCCAATGCATTGAAACGAGACGAGTCATTGGATGAGTGCTGGTTTTGTCCCGCCCGTCGGACGCTCAGTGTCTTTGGGAGTCTATGGACACTGGGCGTGTATCGGCCCGCCCGGACGTTGAGCTTTTCTGCATGATAATTGGATGATCTGTCTGAGGCTGAATCTCTTTTTGATTGACAGCGAAATGAGCCAATCACCGATCTTTTGGTGTAGGCCTCTGCGGGAGCATTTTTCAATTCTCATTCTGTTCTGAGTTGAACTGGAGACTTCTTCTAATCATCTTAGCGACACTCTCTTTATAGAAAGCAACTGCGACAAATTAATCTTTAATTTCTGGTGGGTTTTATTGTAGTTGCTTATGTTTGCAGACCGACTTATATCACTACAGGGTCACAGATCATTTTATTGAAAAGGAACGGAGAGTAGAGTTCACATAAATAAACGGACACATTTTATGATCCGCCACTGATTTCAGGAGCTGTATTTTTATTGAATTTCCTCAAAAAATGCAAGCTGCTTTCTTGATTAAATGTTTAATCATTTTTCAACAAATTTCCACATTGAACGCCATTCTTCCAATTCATCAAACGAACAATTGAAACACTGTTCAAGTTTTGGGTAATGCGAGTAAGAATTGGCTGTTTTAAAATGTATAGGTCGTTTTTTGGGGTGGGGGGGGGGAGCATTGCACATGTTAAAAAAAATTAGCATGTTTGAAGGAACCAACTGACTCTCTGGCATGCATGCTCGACAGTTAGCACATGTAACATATGCCACATCGCTCAAAAACACATTGACCAGATTAGAAGTTTCGCCCCGACTACTCACACAAAAGCAGGAGAAACCAATTTGAATTTCATTGAGATGTCAGGACAAAAATGCAATTTTCTCCCTGGTACACAATCATTCATTTTATAACACTTTAAAATCAGAGATGAAAGCGGACTTTCCTGAAAACTTACCAGGTTTGTCGACCTTTCTAATGTAGTCGGACCAATCCATTCAAGTCCTTTTCCTCAAGCCATGACCACTTGAATGTGTTCCGAACACTCGCGTCAATTGCATGTATGTCAGCTTGCCTGTCTACCACCTGTTTGAACATTGCGCTGGGGCCGTACCTGGCCAATCACGCATTAATTAGTTTACGCAAAATGCTATTCAAATACTTGACATTCAATGATTAATCTGCCTTTTGTGTGCACACGTGCACTCTTTGTGGCTTCCGTTCGCGCCAAAATGTCGAAATCTCTGAGATATGGCGAGGCCATTAGAATGCGAGTGGAGGGGTGTTACTGTTCCTAGTGTTCGTGCCTCAACATGGCCACGCTCGTGAAAGCAAAACAACGAACTCAAACACGTGTTCGTTCTATGTTGTCAACTAATATCCGGATTAATTTTAGGCAATTTTTCCACAATTTTCATGACAATTTGAAAATCCGGAATTCCGGGAAAATCCGGAGGACTTTCATCATTGAACAATGAATGAGATCTTTAAAAAAAAGCAAATAAAAATAAATAAATAACAGGACCAATGCACCAATGTGGCATTTGGATTTTGTCACATTTTATTGAACAGTTGTTTGCCACTCAGATGTTCCTGTGGAAAGAAAAGCCACATGATTACAAGTTAAGGTCAGCGATGATGACAGAAGAAAGTCTTCTTACTTCGCAACAACGCTGTCGTTCTTCGCCAGCCTGAGGATGGAATCATCAGACTCTCCCTGTTTTGCATTGAGGAGAACATGTACCCATGTAAGAAACAAATCCATTTAAAGCATTGAACACAACGCAAATCTCACTCACCATCCTGCGGATGGCGCCACAGATGGCGTAGGTCTTGAACTGACCGTTGAAGCGACCTGTGACCTTGTCCACCTGCAGCCAACATTGTTGAATGAATGAGAACTTTATTTCAGACACAGAAAGAGATCCACGTCGCGTGTCATACATCTAGCACATAGAGCATCGGAAAGGACAATAGACACATGAACCCCAGTGGCTCCAGTCTCGCTGTAAACCTGACACAGCTTGTCCAGGATTACATACAGCAAATACATTTCAACGAAAATACAGTTTTTATCACTTTAAATGCAATTTCAGGGTGAGGTGTGCACTTTTTCTCAAGTTGCATTTTTCTTTATCGGGATTTGCTGGATGATGAACTTAATGCCCGTTTAGGCTTCAGGTCGCCAAGTTGTACAAAATACATGTGGAGATAAGACTTTTGTGAAGCTTTGACAATCAAATGTCGGATTTCACAGCACAGTAGGACAGGTGGGTAGCGCAACATGAACAAAAATGGCTCGTGCTTCTTGAAACTCTAAAGTCACGATGCCACTGAGGTAGAAAAGGTTGAAAAACAGAGTTCATCAGGGTTTGTTCAAGTTCGCAATTTGTTCGCCTAACGGCCACCAACAGTTTTAGTGGGGGGTTTTCATGTCTTGCGACTGGTGAACATTTGCGACACTGAACGAACCCTAACATGAACGCAACAGTCGTCTTCGAAAATTCTCGCAATTGTTCGCCACTCCGCGGGAAAAGGGTTTAAGCAGTAGCTTCATACTGTCATGATAGGCCATGGAGTTATATCTGACTATTCTGCCTCTGTGCAAAAGATTAGTACAGAGGGGAGTACAGAAGCTTTTTAATAGGGATGTTATGTTTTTCAGATCGATACCAGTACAAATATTCACTCTTGCAAAACACAAAACATTGTCAACCAAGACCTTTCTTTGTGATGCAGAAGATGATGTGCCGATGTGACAATCTGCCGCAGTATAGCGCCCTCTACTCCTAAGGAGAACTTGCTCAATGTCAGATTTTAATTTTTTGCTTTCAGTAGTGGTAGCTGTTGCCGGCAGCCTCAAAGAGCCACCGATACCGCAAAATAAGGCCAGTATTGACATGATGCATGTACCTATATATCTATCATCTGAAAGGTCATTTGTGACAACATGTCTAAGGTATTTTAAGGTCCGATGCATAAAATGGATCAAAATATGTCTGTAACAAGGTTTAAGTTTGACATCTATATGGTTTGTCAATTGCTTGCGATGCACGACGAAAAGCTTGAAAATTAAGCATATCAGCGGCGTGACATATTTGCTACTCATTCATCACCTGCCAGCCTTGGAGGAGTTGATGACAGGCATTAATCTCAATAATTTTGGGAGAAAATCCTAAACATTTCGGAAACAGAATTCTCCTGTCTTGGGCACATTTCATGAAAAATGAATTCCTTTACACCTTGCTAAAAGTACACTTAAAGGTTGTAAGTGCGAGACAAGCAGACACCGCCACCAAGCCATACAAATACAAAGCATATAAAACATATTTTGTGTCTTACAATCATACTTGGCTACTTTATAATAGTGCTGACGCAGTCCTTGAGTCATTTGAGTGCCACGGTTCCAAAAAATACAGGAGGCATTTTTTTCAGCCTCGTGTAATCGCTTATTTACCAGTACACTGTGAGGAAAAAGAAGTTAGGCTAACCGGAGCAACAATTGTTCATGCTGTACATGACAAAAACACTTGGATGCTGACAGTTGCCGTTCGTAGCGGGCAAAATCGCTGATGTGCTTCTGACGTCACTTTATCTCATCAACCAAAATTTATGGGAAGAGATTTATTTAAATCTCACTAATGTTTCAAATGAGGAAAATAGCGTACTGCTATGCACACTTGAAATCTAAAATGTCTCATATCTAAACACTAAGAGCAGATGGCTGTGTATTATTAAGCGGAAATTATGTTCCATTGACCTCTATATCTTGAACCAAGCCCCCTCCCGCCCCCAAAATAATAGTTATTTTTATCTAAGGCGGAGAATACGGTGCGCCGAATGGTTGTGAAAATACGGTATTTTTATCTAAGGCGGAGAAAAAAAATAGTATTTCCGGTAACGCGACCGACTGAAAATTTCTACGTTGAAAATTCCGACCGTAAAGTTTTTTTTTTTTCCCTTCAAACAACCCTCTACATTTTTGTGCAGAGGGTTTACATCGGTGCAAACTCTCGGGATATTCACGTTGAGCGCATGCGTCGTTTGCCCTGTCTGTCAACAACATTGAATCATGGCGGCGGCCGCGATCTCTGATGACGGTTTAAACCGCATTTTCTGTGTGACAGTCGCATGCTCGCACCGTAATGTTAAGAAAATAGCATCCATTGATGCATCGAAAAAATTCAGCGAACTATTTGATGACCACCACTGGCCGAGTATAAACCACGTGAAAATAGCACATTGACAATGTGCCAACGGTGAATTCTTTAGTCACTGATGTTCACTGACAATTGCTAACCTGCACTATGTCAGCACAGACAGCTAGAACCACTGTTGAATGTGTAGAGCAGGGGTCCCCAACCTTTTTTGCCCCACAGACCGGTTTAAGTCAGAAAATATTTTCAGGGACCGGCATTTAAGGTGTGGCGGATTAATACAACAAAATAATATGGTATGAGCTGCATGAAAACTGTGGTGTTTTCTAAATATAATAA